TCTTTCTTCTTTCTTTCTTTCTTTCTTTCTCCTCCTTCCTTCCTCTCTTCCTTTCCTCCTCCTTCTCTTCTTCCTTCTCTTCCTTCCTTTCTTTCTTTCTTCTTTCTTTCTTTCTTTCTTCTTTCTTTCTTTCTTTCCCTTCCCTCCTTTCCCTCCTCCCTCCCCTCCCTTCTTTCCTTCCTTCTTTCCTTCCTTCCTTCCTTCCTTCTCCTTCCTTCCTCCTTCCTTCCTTCCTTCCTTCCTTCCTCCTTCCTTCTTCTTCCTTCCCTCCTCTCTCTCTCCTCTCTCTCTTTCTTTCTTTTTTTACACTCTCAAACATGGTAGAGAGCAGACTGCTCCAAGGAGGCAGCCGCATCTAGTTTTCCATCATGGGAAAACTTATAGGAACTTATAAAGAATGAAATCATGACATTTGTCATAACAGAAACACCATGGTAGGTCTTTGAATTTAAAACCAAAGGTGGAAAAAAGTAAATAAATAAAATGAAAGGTGGGCCGGGCGTGGTGGCTCATGCCTGTAATCCTAGCACTCTGGGGAGCTGAGGCGCTGGGAGGATCGTTCAAGGTCAGGAGTTCAAGACCAGTCTGAGCAAGAGTGAGACACCTGTCTCTACTAAAAAATAGAAATAATTTAATTGGCTAACTATAGAAAAAATTAACCGGCATGGTGGCGCATGCCTGTAGTCCCAGCTACTCGGGAGGCTGAGGCAGGAGGATCGCTTGAGCCCAGGAGTTTGAGATTGCTGTGAACCAGGCTGATAGCATGGCACTGTAGCTCGGGCAACAGAGTGAGACTGTGTCTCAAAAATAAATAAATAAATAAATAAAATGAAACCAAAGTGTGCATTACAAATTTGGTTCTTTTGGGTACTTTTATTAAAGACTTTCAAACTTTCACCTTTCAAACTTTCTTCATGCTATCACTTTTATTCTTTTGAGAGGGGGAACAAATAACTAACCCATGCCACCCGCCCAGTCCTACACGCTCTCATACTCCTCACTGCTAATAGTGTCTAGTTTGCTAGACACCAGCAGGGCTCTGTAATTCAGAATAATGTATAGTTGACCCCTGAACAACATGGTTTTGAACTGCACAGGTCCACTTATATGTGAATTTTCTTCTGCCTCTGCCACGCTTTTGAGACAGCAAGACCAACCCCTCCACCTCCTCCGTGAAGATGACAAGGATGAAGGCTTCTATGGTGATCCACTTTCACTTAATGAATCGTAAATATATTTTCCTTATGATATACATATTTTTTGAAACAGGGTCTTGCTCTGTTGCCCAGGCTGGAGTACAGTGGCATGATCATAGCTCAATGCAGCCTCCAACTTCTGGGCTTAAGTGATCCTCCCTGCATCAGCTTCCCAAAGTGCTAGGATTACAGACATGAACCACTGTGACTGGCCATGATTTTCTTAATGTTTCCTTTTCTCTAGCTTACTTTAAGGATATAATACATATAGCGTACAAAATATGTTGTTTATGTTATCAGTAAGGCTTCCAGTCAAGAGTAAGCTCTTAGTAGTCAAGTTTTGGGGTAGCCAAGTCATAAATGGATATTTTCTTTTTTTGGAGACAGTCTCATTCTGTTGCCCAGGCCAGAGTGCCTTGGCGTCAGCCTAGCTCACAGCAACCTGCAACTCCCGGGCTCGAGTGATCCTCCTCCCTCAGCCTCCCAAGTAGCTGGGACTACAGGCATGCACCACCATGCCCAGCTAATTTTTTCTATTTTTAGTAGAGACAGGATCTCACTCTTGCTCAGGCTGGCATATAGATTTTTGACTGTGCAGTGGGATGGCCTACCTAACCCCTCTATTATTTGAGGTCAAGGGTACTATATTCCAATGCATATGAGACATAAATTTACAAAATACAGCCCTTGCCTGCCCTGCTTCCCTTGGGAGGCTGTTCGGTACAGATACCCTCATGATTGCGTCTCTCCCTTGGCAGTTGAAAGAACATGGGCCTTGCCTGGTCATTTACTAGTTACTTCACCTTGGCTAAGTTTTTAAATCTGCTGTGCCCATTTCCATTAAGTGTGAAACTAAGTTTTCCTATGTTGTAGGACTTTTAAGAGGATTAAATGAGAAGGTACAGAGAGAAACTTTTTATTCTAGTTTGCCATGCATAGGCATGAAATGCTCATTTCTTTCCTTTCTCTTTCCAAATTCAATACACTGATGGGCCTGGACCTTTTGCTAATTTGTATACTGTCTTGTTTTATTCTGTTGTTTAACTGCTTCGGTAGGTCCCTCTAGCAATCTTATTTAGAAAAAGATTTCCTATCCCCTGGGCACTAAGAAGAAAGAATCCAAGGAACTAAGTTTGTATAAGTTCAGTGGTTTTCAGATTCCTGCTTTAGGAATCCTTTGTTCAAATGAAATCTTTCTTAGACTCTTGATATAAAGAAAACAGATAAAAGAAGTCTTTTTTCTTTTTAGCATTCCTTTATTTTATAACTATAATTTTATAACCATGAAAATGACATTCAGAACTAGGTGCTTTGATGACACACATCACAAATCTGGGGTTCAAGGTAATCACTGCAAACTTATCAACCACAGCATTCAATTCTGCCTTTTTTCTTTTACTTTTAAAGAGATTTATTCTGAGCCAAATTTGAGGACAATGACCCAGAGCCACTGCCAAGAGGCCTTGGGCAAGTGGACTCTTCAATTCTGCCTTTTGATTGCACGGAACCCATATAATTCTGATTCATACAAAAAATAATTTTCTTAACCACTGCTCATGATCTTCATCATAAATGCAGGGCAATATACACCTAAAAACTATTGATGTAACATCATCACATGTGATATGCTACACTTGCACCTGTTACCAAACAAGCTGACATCTCATGAGATCTGGTCAGCATGTGCACCTGAGCCTTCCCTGTCCTCTCAGAGTACTACACATATGTAGTGACAGACCTTTTGTACAATTTTGCATGATAAAATATTCACAGGGACTAATTTAAATAAATAATAGTGGTTTAAAATAAATAGCAGTGCAGAACTACACCGTTCCTAGTCAATGACACACTTAGGAGATATTAAATAGGGACAGAAATGACAACGGGTTTATACCAAGAACTGCACAAAAATTAAGTTACTTGGCAGCACAGGTAGGGATTGGTTAATGTCTATCACTGGAGTATACAGACTTTTCTACTTTCATGCTCCATTCATTGACAGATATCCCTTCCTGGTTTCCTGAGATTCAGGTGAAATGCTCTCCTAATCCTGCCTGGAAAAGGGCCTCCTCCTCATCCTCAACTGCCTCCCCATCCTTTATCCGTGCCAGTACCGCAAGAAGTCAGGAGCTGGGCCATCCTTTGGCAGATCAAACAGTCTGCGAACTGTTCTGTGGACTGCCCCAGCAACGATTTGGTCTAAGCAGGCCTGATTCACAATGTCTCTCTCAATTGCTCCTCTCTGTATCAACTTCTGTAACAAAGGCTCCAGCCTTAGTATGTAAGCAGATAATTTTTCTTCATCCTTCTGGTAAGTGGTTAGATATTTGACCTGCAACTCCCTAGGATTATATATAACCCCAAATACCTGTTCAAGAGCCTGCAGGCATTCAAGGACTGTAATTAAAGGACTGCTGATCTTGAGCACACGGATAACATCAAAAGCTGGGCCTCTGAGGCTCTCTAGCAATCGTCTTCTTTTCTCTGCATCTGACACCTGCCATGCCTTCATCATTTGAGTAGTATGAAACAACCAGGGTCCGAATTCTTCCTCTTCTGGTTCTGGAGGATCCCTGCCTGAGAATACTCTCAGCTTTTTATAGTTCAGGTATTGCAGGGTAGGCTTAAGAGCCTCATCCAATGCCTGTGCCAACACAAGGGCCCGAATTTCTGAGATCATGTCCTGGTCTAGGTCAAAAGGGTCATTTTCATACCCTAGAGCTCTGGTCAACTCACCCACTGTCATCCCCTCTCCCTCTAAAAATTCATTTCATCTGCTTAGAAATCCATTATCTGGGTCAGGGGGTTTAAAGATCACTCTCCAGATAACCCCCTTTCCCGATATCTCCTTAGGGACCAGAGCATGAACAGTCTCCTCAGTAAGCCCTACTAAGGCGACCTTCCTGTTCTCGTCCCTCCTGAACATCCTCCCAAGCAGTCTGTACTTCCCCAAAGGAGCTAAACCGGCCCGCAGAGCCTCCTCGATTTCTGCCACACTGCAGGTCTGAGGGATGCCGGCAATCAACAGAGCCTTTCAGCGGCTTTCGAGAGTTCATATCCATCCCCCTGCACCAATCTTCTAAGAGTCTCGACGCTATAGCGCCCGAAATAATAGATTTTAAGTTCTAATTCGTTCGGGACGCAGATGCCCACCGCAATTCTGAGTAATCCTCCGCGGCCCCCCCGATGAGTCTCGCAACGTGCCGAGGTCCAGCAGCCTGCAGGACAGAGCAGTCAGGTTAAAGGTGCCGACGTTCAGGGCGCCCGTGCAGGCCCCCGGGCCCACACTGCAGCGCCCTGCGGCAAGCAGCCACCTCGCCGTCTCCCAGCGGGGCGCCCCTGCGCACGTCGGGCCTGCAGGGCCGCTCGCGGGACCCGCTCCCCCTCACCGTCATCTAGTGCTAGGTGCCCGCCTCCGTCCGCCGGCGGCCGAGGCGCCAGGCCGGCTCCACTCGGCTCGGATGGACGCTCTGGGGACCAAGGCGATCGCTGCCGTGCCGCCTTGCCCCTGCGGGGCTTTCCATAGCGAGGAGTGAGGGGTGATCAGAGTCGCGAGCGGAGCACCAGGGGGCAAGGCTGAGGAGCGCTGAGGTCGCCAGGCCCAGACCGTCGCCCACCCGAAGGGTCAGCCACCACTAGCGCCGCGCTTTCGGCTTGCTCGAGGGGGCGGGGCAGCGGCGGAAGCGCTCTGGCGCCACAAGGAGGCGGGTCTTCCGGGCGGGGCGCTCTTGCTTCCGGCCCGAGCCGGAAGCCCCGACTACGGCGGCATCCGGGAGGGCAGGAGGGCTGGCTAGCCGGGACAGGAAGGTGAGACCCGGGATCTGGTCAGATTTGCCGGAAAGCTAGGCCGGCGGCAAGTGCCGGACGTAGCGCTCTCGGCGCCGCAGGGCTGTGAGGCCTGGGCCTGGCTCTGCCTGAGCAGCTTTGGTCGCCTTGGGCCGGCGCTGCAGCGCGGCAGGGGGCGGGGCCGGCTGCTGGGAGGCCCAGGTGGCGGGGGAGTCTCCCACCCGGGCCGGGTGCCCACAGTGGGGCTCCAGCCGCGGCGATTGGGGCCGGCCGCCGCGTGACCGGCTGCAGTCACGCTGTACTTAATCACAGTTAGCTTGCGCTCCAGGCTGGCGGCGCTCACCTTTCTCCGAGCCGGGTAACCCAGGGGATTTCTTTTATGGTGGCTTTCTCTGAAATGCCAAAGCCACTCGATTATTCAGAATTGAGTGACTCTTTAACGCTTGCCGTGGGAACAGGAAGATTTTCGGGACCATTGTAAGTGTTTAAGAGTTACCGTCTTAACCTGGGGGCTCCAATGTTGGCTTGACTTTTACAACCCAGTGTTCCTGTCTGAAGCAATACTCTTAAGCCAGAAAATATTTCAACAGTAAAAGTGAAATGTACCGTAGGAAACCGGTTTAATTCCAGTTTTGGAAGGAAAGGTGGACCTGTTTAGTGTAGAGTGTAATGATTTATTTATTCTGTGGGATTCACATAAAAAGCAGAACTCAATACATACAGAAACCAGTGTTTTTACTTGTTCATAACTGACACAAAACAACCTGTAAGTTGTTTACATTTCTTAATACATGTAATTATTTTGAATCTTTAATATGTTACTGGGATGTTTTAGAGCTCTTGGAAATACAGCAAGTGCATTTGGAATAGTTGCTATGACAGCATTACTAGACCCTAACTGTATTTTTTTTAAACTTGAAGGCACAGAGCATGGAGAATGATGAACTTCCGTCAGCGGATGGGATGGATTGGAGTGGGATTGTATCTTTTAGCAAGTGCAGCAGCATTTTACTATGTTTTTGAAATCAATGAGACTTACAACAGACTGGCCTTGGAACACATTCAACAGCACCCTGAGGAGCCCCTTGAAGGAATCACATGGACACACTCCTTGAAAGCTCGGTTACTCTCCCTGCCTTTTTGGTTGTGGACAATTATTTTTCTGATACCTTACTTACAGATGTTTTTGTTCCTTTACTCTTGTACAAGAGCTGATCCCAAAACGGTGGGCTACTGTATCATCCCTATATGCTTGGCAGTTATTTGCAATCGCCACCAGGCATTTGTCAAAGCTTCTAATCAGATCAGCAGACTGCAACTAATTGACACATAAACTCAGTCACCATTTTTTCCCTAGGATTACAAAACTGCCAGTACTATATGGAGTCTGATCACAAGACTGCAGTTTCTTCACAGATCTCAGGAAGTTGTGGTGGGGCAGAGGCTTTTTAAAAAATGTGACTAGGGGGCTGTCTTTATCTGAATAATGAATTTTTAGGTAAAGCCTGACATATAGTACTACAGAATCATGTTGATGACTTCAGATTTTGGAAGTAAAATCGTGTCTGTTATTTGCATTCTTTAGTAACTTGACTAAGTACCTGAACTCATTTCTATTCTACTGTGCAACATAGTGATGAATCAGAATTTTTTCCATTGGGGGAAAAATGAATATAAACATTTCCATTGTGTTAAGTGTACAAAGGTCCAAACATGGTCATAAAATTTAAATTTTATACAATTACTTGGCTTGCTTTAAAATTCTTCAAACTAAACACCAATTTATCCTGTTGTAGCTATGACAACTGTTTATACTTGCTTGCTATCAGCTTATGAGGAATTGGTATAAAATTATTAAGGTGATGGCTGTCTTGATAAGCAGAATTTGTTCTTCCTCTTGGTAATGGCTAGCTAAATCATTAATGTTACTGGTTTTAAAAAACTACTTGGGAAGAGACTGTATGTTTGAAAGTCCATAAATAACTTATACCTAGAAGATAGAAACAAGGCATTCAGTGAAAATATCACAGATAATTTAGTCCAGTCCTTATCAGATGCATGATATGCCTCTAAAAGATACTATCAAGTCATCATCCTTCTGGTCCTCTTTCCTGGTTCAAGGTCAGGTCTTCAGGCAATAGGTTAATTGCATGAAGATGTGATACCTGTACCTCTTCCTTTGCATCTGTACTACCTCGTGTCTGGTACCAATACAAATAACTAAAAATAGACATAGATTTTTTTTTTTCTTCTCTGGGTGAGATCAAAATATATTTTTATACAGTTATGTCATTAATACTGGGAAACATTTTACACTGTTTTCATAATCATAACATTTTTTGGTACTTAGTTTGTTGGGCCCTGTTCTAAGAGCTTTACATGAATTAACTCATGTAATCTTCCCAGTAACCCTATGAGCTGACAATTATTCAGATTTTATAGATATAGAAACTGAGGCAGAGATGTTAAGTAACTTGCCAAAGGTCACACAGCTAGTAAGTAGCAGAGCTAGGGTTATAACTAGGCATTCTAATGTCTTTGTTACTAACCACTTAGCTATATTGCTTCTTACAAATGACAAATGTTTTAGCACTGGGTACTGTTTGCCTAGTCATGCCAAAGAATGGAGATGGCAATATTATTTTTAAAAGTTTTTCTCAATTTTTTGAGCTACTGAAAAATCTGAAAGTTTCCTAGCAGCCTCACCATCATGCTGTATCTAGTTTGACCAGAGCATTCCATAGCAAGCTTTTACTCAAAAGAAAGCTGGTACCTTTATAATGCAAAAGCAGCAGGGTCAGAGCCTTCTCCACTTAGTCTTATCTCCCTTACTACCTCCAGAGGTCTAGTTAGTGAAATGATGTATCCTTGATACAATATACTGAATCTTCAAAGTAAGCAGCAGTTTGAAATACCTGATTCTGTGAGGGTCAGATAACCAAGTCACTTGCATCTTCTGAGTACACAGTATGCATGGTGTGGGTATTATTTATGAGTGATTTACTACATTCATTCTTCACATAGTCCGGAGGCAAGTATCATACTGGTACTAGTGCCATTTTACAGAAGAGGAAACCTGAAGCACAGGCATTAATAACTTGCCCATGATCACATAGCAAGTAAGTGGAAGAGCCAGGATTTGAACCCAGGATGTCTGGCTTCAAATCACAGCTCTTTTATCATTCCACTATACTGCTTCTCAAAAAAGATGATAATTTGAGAAAAATCTTTGAGCAGTTTCCTGTTTTATTAGTCTTGAGGTGATGATTTAAGATAATTATTTCAGTTATTTTTGGTTTTATAAATGCTTGATATGATGCAAGGTTTGTGAGTGTGCCACTTGTGGTAATTCCTTTTTATTGAAGGAGACTTTATCTCTTTTATATTTCAAATTCTAGTATTGGGATTTGGTAAGTAATTGTTCAGTCCATTTCCATCTTTCAGGATCTAATTGCCTTGACAGTAGAAATATTAAAATAATTAGAGTAAGATTAATGTAGTATTCCCAAATGTAATTAGTAAGTTTCAGATTGCTGGGTTAATCTGCTTTTTGATTATCTAGGAATTATTTATCCAAGTGGTAGATTATTCCTAGTTTGTTAATGGCTTAATTGTTCAAAGCATTCTTTAGTGGGTAAAGAGGGAGAGGTGGAATATATTTTTTAAATCTCTTAGCTCTTAGATTGAGGAGGAGGTTGAAATTGATGAATAGGAGATTTGTGTACAATAGATTATTTATTCATATTAACACCACACTACAAAATGCAGTGAATACAGGATTATGTAGCAGGAGGAATGGCAAATATAGTAAGTACTTGAGGGATTTTAGGAAAGGGACAAGTATCCTAGGATCCATGACTAGTAAATACTTGCTTCTAGATATGAGAAAAATAGAGCTATATCTCACAATGATTTAATAAGTCATTTTATTTGCAACTACATGCAAAATGAAGTAATCCTGTTGAATTTTTTCACCAAATGTGCCCCATATTTTATTTTTTCAAATGTGCCAGTATAGGGAATAGATAACTGAATGGAAGAAACACGTAATTCATGGAGATATAGTTACCACATACATTTTCTGGTTTTAAAGATACTATCAGTTTTAAAGTAAAAATTGTGATTCCTTAGAGTTTAGAATTTGATTCTATTTTAAAACTTCTGCAATTAACAAAAAGCCTTTTTGGGGGGAGAAGTGGAGTCATCAGATAACATGTTCCTATGAGTAACAGCACCCATAAAATAATCAAACTGGTATGTTTGTTCACCATGGGTGGTGGTAGTGTTTTTTATTAAGATTATCTAGTGTTGCCTTTCTTGATGGATTTAACATTCCCAATCTCCAAAATACTGGCAGAAAACCTAACAATACCACATGACTCATCTTTGCTTCAATTATGTGCAATCACTTTGCTAATTCTCCATCATATAAAGTTCCTTATAATTTTGGACCATGATTGGGAAACATCATGTATTAGTATTTTGATCTAAGGCTGTGAGTGGGTCTTGAACTTTGTACATTAAAATTACCCAAGAAAATAAACAAAAACCGAAAAACTTCTCACACATAAACAATGGCAACAAAACAATAATGCCAGGATCCTTTCCCAACCAGTTATATCAGTCTCTGGGGTGGGCCCCAGGCAATCCTGTTTTTAAAATTCTTCAAATGATTCTTTTAGGGTTGAGAATCACTGGTCCATGGGATTTTTATGTATCATTTACCAAAGACTCATCTGTTAGGCATGAGAGCTGTGCTTATCTTTGGAACAGTTTCAACAAATACTTTGCAGTAAGTTCAATGCAGCTGTTCTAATTGCAAATCTTTAAAAATTCCGTCTTCTGATTTAAAGTCCTCTCCTACAGTTTGTCCTGAATACTTCTGTCAGGCTTTTTTCTTCCACTCTACCAAAATTGCTCTCCTGTCAAGTTGTCAGTCACCTACACATAATTAAATCCAATAGTCAAGTCTGAATCCTCAATTTACTTATTAGCAGTTTTTGACATTTCCTGTTGAGATACTTCCTTCAGTTGGCTTCTGGACCAGCGCTGTCCAGTAGAATTTTAGCGATGATGGAAATGTTCTATATCTGTGCTGTTCAAATAAGTAGCCACTTAGCTGCATGAAAGGAGCCCTTGGAATGTAGCTAATGTAAATGAGGAACTAAATTTTCAATTCTAATTAATTTAAATAGCCACATGTGGCAAGTAGCTACCATGTATTCCACGGCCCAATTCTAGGTATTTTTCTGGTTTGTCTTCTTCCTCACCAGCTTCTTATGCCGCCTGTGCTGGCTCCTTGCTGCGGATCCGTTCAACTTCTAAATGTTGCTGTGCCCTAGTTCTCTTTTCTATTCATACTCCTTTGAGCCTCATGTCATCGAGGCTTATGGCTTCAGATACCTAAATTTATGTTATTACCTTGGATTTCTCTCCTGAGCTCCAGACTTGAATACCCGACTATCTACCTGATATGTTTACTAAGATGTCTTACGATCTTAGGGCATGAAATGTAACCCATCCAAAACCAAGCTGCTGACATTCTCTCCACTTACCCAAATCTGCTCCTCAAATCCCCTACAAATACGTTATCAACCCAGTGGCCTGGGTTGATAACTGAAAAGTATTAACCCTCTCGAAAATCCCCCTCTAGCTTCTCTTAGAATAAAAGGCACTGTCCTTATCATGGCATACAAAATCCTACATGAGTGGTTCTGCACTGCCTTCTTCTTGAACATGCTGGAAGACCCTGATGCAGGGCCTTTGCACGCATCGTGTCCTGTCTGGATGCTTATCCCTGGCCTGCTCTATCACTTTCAAACCTTTGCTAAAATGTTGCCTTAGTGAGACCAACCTGTCTATCCCTATTTAAAATTAAGCAGCATCCTCTATTTTTTTCCACAGTACTTATCACATGATGTTATATATTTTGTCAGAATCTAAACTCTATTGAGGGCAGAGATTTTGTCTGTTTGTTCACTGCTGTAGGCTTCATGCCTAAAACAGTACTTGGCACATAGAAGTAATATTTTATTGGATGAGTAATTCTTACTGCCACTGAAAATGTCTCTCGCTAGACTGCCAAACAATCTAGTTCACTCTCCAGAAAGAATAAAGGTTAAAAGTTAACATTTTGCCTGTAATCCTAGCACTTTGGGAGGCCGAGGCGGGTGGATTGCTCAAGGTCAGGAATTCAAAATAAGCCTGAGCAAGAGCGAGACCCCATCTCTACTATAAATAGAAAGAAATTAATTGGCCAACTAATATATATAGAAAAAATTAGCCAGGCATGGTGTAACATGCTGTAGTCCCTGAGCTACCGGGAGCTTAGCAGTAGGATCGCTTGAGCCAGGAGATTGAGGTGTGGCTAGGGCGTGATGCCATGGCACCACTCTACCTGGCCAAAAAGTGAACTTTTCTCAAAAAAAAAAGTTAACATTTACTATTAAGTACCCAGCATGTCACATGTTATACTTTAGTTCTTAAACTTTTTTTTTTTTTGAGACAGTCTCACTCTGTTGCCTGGCTAGAGTGAGTGCCTGTGGCATCAGCCTAGCTCACAGCAACCTCAAACTCCCATGCTTAAGCAATCCTCCTGCCTCAGCTTCCCGAGTAGCTGGGACTACAGGCATGTCCACCATGCCGCTGCTAATTTTTTCTAAATTTTATTGCCAATTAATTTCTTTCTATTTTTAGTAGAGACGGGTCTGTCTTGTCAGGCTGTTTCTAACTCTGACCTCGAGTGATCCGACTGCCTCGGCCTCCCAGAGGACTAAGATTACAGGCGTGAGCTACCGCGCCTGGCCTATTTATTTTTTTGGAATCAGGGTCTTACTCTGTCACCCAGGCTGGAGTGCAGTGGCATCATCATAGCTCACTGCAGCCCTGAACTCCTGGGCTCAAGCAATCCTCCCACCTCAGCCTCCCAAGTAGCTGGGACTATGGGCCTACACCTCCATGTAGGGCTAATTTTCTTTTTTGTAGAGACAGGGTCTTGCTATGTTGCCCAGGCTGGTATTGGCCTCCCAAAATGCTGAGATTATAGGTGTGAGCCACTGTCTGGCCTTCCAGGTGATTTAAAAAAAAAATGTGCTAATACAATAGCCAGGCAATCACAGCCTATTATAAAAGTTTCGTTTTGGCCACAGAATTCTATTATTAAAATAAGTATTTCTTACTGTGACACAAAGGTACTTATTTAGAAAAGACATCTATCTTGCCTAAATCTCATGTTTCACATTTTAAAGATTTATATAAGTCTAGTGTCAAGTTTATTTTAGGTGGATTGTGTGTTGAATTTCCTGTACAAAAGAAAAGTTGGAGATGTTTCAAAGAGAAGCTTTGTTCTGCTTGCCTGTGGCTAATATTTGTTCTACTAGAAGGCAGCAGATTAGAAAACTTGGCAAGGCATTTCTTCCTATGCTGGTCCTTCAAACTGAACTTTTTTTTCAAACATATGGGTTACTTATGAAGAAGACAGAATTAGAATCAGTATTAAACTTACTTTAAAATTAAACCTATAACCAAAGAACCTCAAAACATTAGGCCATAAGCACAAATATTATCTTGAAATTTCTCTTTATATTACCAAACAAAGAGAAAACATAAATGTTCAGGAGCAAAGTTCAGCTATCAATTTAACAATGTGATCAATTTAAGTAGAAATAGGCTAAATTTTTTCTTTAGGACTGCATAGAGATAATGGAATTATAATAAATAACAATTAAATATTAGAAACATTATCATAAACTAAACAAGATACTTCTGATTGTTTACAACACTTCTAGTTGGCATTGTTTGATTACCTAAGAGTACTTAGTGGAGGCCAACGCTCCAAGTATAACTGTATTTAAGACATGAAAAGGTATGTAAATTGGAATTTCTTAACAGTATATAGTTTTTGTAAGCTATAGTTTTCAGGATGTATAACTGGAAAATACTACGGAAATATTTAAATTATTTCGTAAGATGATTCATGAAAGTTAATTAATGATTTCTTCAATCTTTTATCAGCTTAACAAAATAACTAAAGACTATTTATGTAACCCAGCTCTGCTAATGGTTGGATCTGTAATCTGGGGGCAAGTACCTATTCTCAGATTTGATTTATCCCTGAAATAAATCATATAATTTGTAAGGTTACTTCCAATTCTAAAATTCTAAGACTATTTTGTGTTTCATTAGGTACATGCTACTTGCTTTCTTTGGATTCTAATCAGGAAAGATGCACAGTAAATAAAACTGCCCAAGTCTCAGTGATATACAGAAAAAGAACACACACACATATATATATTTTGAAAACAATTCAACTCCTTTGTTAAGCAAATCAAAGTATGACTACAGGAGAAAAGGAAATATCTAAGTTACAGTCAACATGGATTATTTATTTAAGGTCTTATATTTTTACTTGTATATACCATATCACAGAACAAAAACACACCCCATCTGGCTCCCTTAAGGTACAAGATAAATGAGAAAATTAATGCACATTCCTTGAGTGGCATCATCTCTGGATGTCTGTATATTGGGTGTGAATTCAAGGTTTTCTTGGGTCTCTCTCAAGGATTCTCCTTTCTTTTCAGTATATTATTCCCTTATTTTCCTCCTACTTACAAAGAACTGACATTTTTACATTTAATACCCAATTTTCATCTTGCTCATTCATGTCAGTTCTTTGAAATGTTACTGCCTGTGAAATATGATATGTACTCTTTTAACAGAAGCAGGAGCTAAAAGATGCAGACACCACACAATTTAATTCAATGGTTAAATATAGAAAACAATGATAAAAATTCAGTTGCCAATTTAGAGGATATTATACATTATGAAATGTTCTGTTTTATGTCCATGGCCTGAAATTTATTTCTCATTCAAGAAAACAAATTTCATTTCTAAACATTTATTATCTTTCTTTGCTAGAAACAGAAGAAACAATTTTCTCTTTGATAAAGTTGTCTCAAATTAGAGCACAAATCTTCCTTAAACGTCAGTGTGTAATAATTAGGATATAGTAGCAGTCTTTAACATTTCATAAGGCTATTGTTAAGATGGTGGTTTTGGCCGTTTTGCAGATGGTCCATCTGAGTTAGGTCTGTTATCAATGTTACTTTCATCTTCTGCATCATCTTCATCATCACCTTTTAAAATAAATATTTGTTGTATATGTTCAGTAGTTGAAAGAAATACAGACAGCTAAAATGGTTGATAATGAGATCATTTCAATCTAGAGATTAATAAAACCATGCATATTTTAGATTAAAAAGATTCAGAGTCTCACTCTGTTGCCCGGCTAGAGTGCCGTGGCGTCAACCTAGCTCATAGCAACCTCAAACTCCTGGGCTCAAGTGATCCTCCTGCCTCAGCCTCCCAAGTAGCTGGGACTACAGGCATGTACCACCATGCCTGGCTAATTTTTTCTATATATAGTAGTTGGCCAATTAACTTTTTTCTATTTATAGTAGAGACAGGGTCTTGCTCAGGCTGGTCTTGAACTTCTGACCTTGAGCAATCCACCCGCCTTGGCCTCCCAGAGTGCTAGGATTACAGGCGTGAGCCACCGCACCCAGCTGAGAATTTCAGTGTTTAAAACGTTTCTTTTCCATCACTTTCTTTTTTGGAGGTATTAATTTATTTTCCATAAAATTCACTCTTTTAAAGTGTACAGTTTAGGGGTTTTTAGTATATCCAGTAGCTTCTGCAATTATCACCATTATCTAACTCTAGAACACTTTTATCACTCCAAAAACAAACGCTGTACCCCATTAGGAGTCATTCCTCTTGACAACCACTAATCTAGTTTCCTTTTTATTTTTTTATGTTTTTGGAGATGGAGTCTAGTTCTGTCACTCCAGCTAGAGTGCAGTGGTGTCATCATAGCTCACTGCAACCTCAAATTCTTAGGCTCAAGCAATCCTCCTGCCCCAGCCTCCCAAGTAGCTGGGACTACAAGCATGCACCACCATGTCGGCTAATTTTTTCTATTTTTAGTAGAAAAGGGGGCTTGCTCTTGTTCAGGCTGGTCTCTAACTCCTGAGGTTAAGTGATTCTCCCCCTTGGCCTCCCAGAGTGCTAGGATCACAGGCATGAGCCACCTCTCCTGCCCGGCCTTTTCTTTTTAAAAAAATTTTTTTTAGAGATGGGGTCTTGGTCTGCTGCTGAGGCTGGACTCCAACTCCTGTGCTACACCAATCCTCCCACTGTAGCCTCTGAGTTGGTGGGACTATATAGGTGTGCACTGTGCCCGGGTGAGTAATCTATTTTCTATCTCTATGGATTTGCCTATTGTGCACATTCACATAATTGAAATCATACAACAGGTACCCACTTCATGTCTGGCTTCTTTCACTTAGCATAATGTTTTCAAGGTGTATTGATGTTGTAGCTTGTACCAATACTTCATTCCTTTTTATTGCTACATAATATTCCACTGTATGGACTATCACATTTCGTTTATACACATATCAGTTGATGGATATTTGTGTTTGTTCCACTTTTTAGGTTATTATGAATAATGCTGCTATGAGCATTCATGTATAAGTTTTTTTTATGTGAGCATGTTTCCAGTTCCCTTGGGAAGACTAGCAGTGGAGAACTGCTGGGTCATATGGTAACTTTATGTTAACTTTCTGAGGAACTACCAACCTTTTTCAAAGTGGGAACAGCATTTTACACTGCCACCAACAATGTACAAGGTCTCCAATTTCTTCACTTTTTAGCCAATACTAGTTACTGATTGTTCTTTTTGATTATAGCCAACATCCACATTATCAGGATCTAATTCTTAAGATGGAAACCAGAAGTCAAAGGGGTGGGTAAACTGCGGCCTTAAGGCAAAATGTGGCCTTCTAGGTCCTTAAATGCGCCCTTTCGATTGAATCCAAATTTTACAGAACAGATCCTTTTATTAAAACGGGTGCAGCAGAGAAAGATGAAGCTTTTCTTGTCTCCTTTGGTGCTTAAAAAAGAACAGTCTGAAAATCAGAAGGCCGCAGTTTCCCCATCCCACCTTCTGCGACAAATTGCAATCTTCCAAACACATTTGTAATTTCTCGCTTGGTAAAACTCCTTTTCATCCTTCAATACTCAGCTCAAGAGTTATGCCCTCTACGAAGCCTTCCTGCGTTCTCTCTGTTTGCAATAGCTACAAAGGGCCACAGAATCACATTTTCACTCTTTTAATAAGTGCCTATCTAATCCCCTCGTGTTCCACTAGGGCAGGAGCTGAGTCGCATTCATCTCATTCTTTCTTCAGAGCTCAGCCCAGTGCCTGGCACAGAGCAGTAGGCCTTCAGCATGTTTTCTGTGATACAAATGAGTTATGAGAATGCCCGAGTAGAAGAAGCCGGGATAAATATGACAGTGAGTGCCAATACTTTTTTGATGCAATTCTTCTTCCCGAGACTCACTTTCTCCACGTCTGCCACTCTACACCGGCTCCCCAACCAGATTTCCCCTGGGCGCCCCGCCCCGCCCTCCTGTCGCTCCAGCACTGTCGCACAGCTCACCGTCCAAGGCCTCGTCCGGAGCCGCCGCCAGCGGGTGCTGCGCTTCCTGCTGTGCCAGGGGACCGAAGAGTTCGGTTACCAGCTCCCTCATCTGGGCCACTCCCGACAACAGGCCCCGGAAAGGGTCGGTGTCACCGGGCGCCTCACAGGACACCCGCAGCCGCTGCTGCTGCCCGTCCTGCCCGACGTACTCTCCCAACAGCTCCATGGCGACCGCTTAGCTTCAAGAGCGCGCCAGAGGGTAGCGCTGCCCGGAAGCGGAAAGCAGCCCGCCGCCGGCGCAGGCGGGAGAGGGGAGAGGAGTGACTTCCGTTCGTCGGAAGTCGCTCCGCCCCCTTCCCTTGCTTTCCTTCTTTGGGATTGGTTCATGGCACTCAGGCCTCCGCCTCCTCCGGCTACGCCCCTCGCGGCTGCTTTTCCCGCCTCCGCCGGGGTAGAACCGTGGTCCGGGTGACAGTTGAGGATGGCTGGAGCTGAGGGGTCTGCTGGGCGGCACTCGGAGCTGGAGCCAGTGGTATCGTTGGTCGATGTACTTGAGGAGGACGAAGAGCTGGAGAATGAGGCATGTGCCGTCCTGGGCGGCAGCGACTCCGAGAAGTGCTCCTACTCGCAGGTGGGCGCGCGGCCCGGGCCTCGTCTCCCCCCAGCTCCAGCAGAACCTCCTATACCCGGCCAGGCTTTCCCTGTTCCCATCTGCCGCAGTCGTTCCCCAGATGGTAGTCCCGGGCCGCCGTTCGTCCTGGCCTTTCTCATCTCAAGCCCAGCTGCCCTTTGATCCTTAGCCTTCTGGGCCCCCTTCTTTAGCCTGTGTCCGGCAATGGGCCCCTCTCCTCCCTTCTCTCTGTCCTGCCCTTTCAGGATTTGTCCCTGGAGCAGCTGCTCTGTCTTTCCTCTCCAGTCTCTTCTTGGTGCCCCAGCTGCTTTTCACGAAATCATCCCCATGACCAGTAAAATCCAGATATCTTTGCCCCAACTTTTCCCATCCTAAGATTATGTATTTATTAGGGACCGAATGGAGAGTCAAAGTATAGTTAAAGGAAAGAGCTCTGGATTTGAAATTCTTCCCGTGTGGGGTGGGCTCCTTGATTACTAATTTATCTGCAATTGTAGTTTGGAAAGTGCTGGCCAGTACTTTTTTATTTTTTGCAAAACGAAGCAAGTATCATGTCTATATGAAATCTGCACCCCGCTCCCCCCCCCAAAAAAAAACAGATGGGAACAGAACAGCAGGTAGCTTTGGCGAGGGAGGGGAGGAGAGGAGAAAATGTTCTGTTTGGCATTTGGAAGATGTAGTGTACAAGGGTTTTAAGGGGGTGTGATGTAGTGTTCGGTGACTCATCCTGTATTTCTGAGTACAAAAATGGAGAAGGGTGGGTAGGAAGAAAACAAGGGTTGATTGGTAGGAGGGAGAAGGTTTACTTAGACAGGGGGGTGGAGTGGAACACTAGGGGATGAGGGGAGAGACTTGGCATTCATTATGTGGTATGAACTGAGATCATAATAACCAGTTGTCGTTGTTGATCAAGTTAGTTTACCCTACAAAGTGGTTAGATTGTTGAATAAACTTGGTATCCAGAAATAGTCCCAGATGTTGGCTGGTATTTAAAACCTCTGGTCACCACTAAAACATTTTTTCCCTGTTTCCCTTGAAAAAAGAAGAAGTAGTCCTGTCTCTATGTAAGCTATTTTTGAAATATAGTTAGCTTTATAAAATGGACTTCCTTAAAATTATCTTTTTTTTTTTTTAGTAAAACATATGGAAGTTTGCATAGATCATCTGTACAGCTTGAGAAAAAAGTGAACACATGCATGTACCCACCACCCAGATCAAGAAATAGAACATTACTGGTATCCCCAAAGCCTCCCTGTGTGTCAATCTCCTTCCTATAGGAGAGTAACCATTGTCAAGATTTCTAGAAATTTTGCCTGTTTTTCCTTCGACTTTTCATTTTGAGACATTTTAAATCTATGGCTAAGTTGAAAGAATAGCATTATGAACACCTGTATACCTTTTACATGTATTTACTTTTTTTTTTTAACATTTTGCCACATTTGTTTTCTCTCTCCTCTATAAAAGACATTTTTCTTTTATTAAATTTTGACCTATTTGAAAATAAGTTGCAGACATGATGACACTGCACATCTAAATACTTCAGCATGCATCTCCTAAAAATCAAAGAGATTCTTTTCATGTATTGATTTTTCTCTATGCTTGATTTACAAACATTTTCCAAAGTTAAAGTGTGATATTACTTACATAAATCTATACACATTCTCCTACATTTCATGTGTTAAAATGATTAAGCAAACTTACAGCTGATTGACAAATTTAAACTTCCTTTAACTTTCAGAAAAAATAGTATGAAAACAAGCACTAGTTATATAGATATGAAACATTCAACAGTGTTTTTAGTACTCTATTGTTTATACTTTTTTTTCTTTTTCTTTTTTCCCTGTCAGTATCTGTGTATCTTAAGTTTATACTTTTTGAATAGGCTTAATGATTTTTACAGAAAGATCTTGACCACAGATAATCTGATTTTAATGATTTTTCAGATCATAGTATGGGTATTAGGTAACTATGCTGTTTCCTTAATTTCTTCTTTTCCATTTTGGGGCTGTTGTTTAGGGCTCGGTAAAGAGACAAGCACTATATGCCTGTAGTACCTGCACCCCAGAGGGAGAAGAACCAGCAGGAATTTGTCTAGCTTGCAGTTATGAATGTCATGGAAGTCATAAGCTATTTGAGCTCTACACAAAAAGGTAAACATGCTTTTTATCATTCAAAGTATGTGTATTAGTGAATTTTTTTTTTTTCTGAATCCTCCTGCCTCAGCCTCACCGAAGTAAGCTGGACTACAGGCATGTACCACCATGCCTGGCTAATTTTTCTCTATATATAGTAGTTGGCCAATTAACTTTTTTCTATTATAGTAGAGACAGGTCTTGCTCAGGCTTCTTGAACTTCTGACCTTGAGCAATCCACCCGCCTTGCCTGCCAGAGTGCTAGATTACAGGCGTGAGCCACCGCACCCAGCTGAGAAATTTAGGTTTAAACGTTTCTTTTCCATCACTTTCTTTTTTGGAGGTATTAATTATTTCCATAAATTCACTCTTTTAAAGTTAAGTTTAGGGGTTTTTTAGTATATCCAGTAGCTTCTGCAATTATCACCATATCTTAACTCTAGAACACTTTATCAACTCCAAAAATCAAACGCTTGTACATAGGAGTCATTCCTCTTGACAACCACTAATCAGTTTCCTTTTTATTTTTTAATGTTTTTGGAGATGGAGTTAGTTCCTTGTCCTGTCCCAGGCTAGATGAGTGGTGTCATCATAGCTCACTGCAACCTCCAAAGTTCTTAGCTCAAGCATCCTCCGCCCCAGCTCCCAAGTACTGGACTACAACATGCACCACCATGTCGGCAATTTTATCTATTTTTAGTAGAAAAGGGGCTTGCTCGTGTTCAGCTAGTCTCTTAACTCCTGAGGTTAAGTGACCTCCCCTTGCCTCCCCAGGTGCTAGGATCACAGGCATGAGCCAACCTCTCGCCCGGCCTTTTCCTTTTAAAAAATTTTTTTTAGAGATGGGCCTGGTCTGCTGCTGAGGCTGGACTCCAACTCCTGTGCTAACACCGAATCCTCCCACTGTAGCCTGCCTGAATTGGTGGGACTGATATAGGTTGGCGACTGTGCCCGGTGAGTAATCTATTTTCTATCTAGGATTTGCCTATTGTGCACATTCACATAATTGAAATCAACAACAGGTTACCACTTCAATGTCTGCTCTTTTCCACGTTAGCATAAAGTGTTTTCAAGGTGTACTGATGTGTAAGCCTGTAACCAATACTTCATTCCTTTTTATTGCTAAATAAATTCCACTGTATGACTTATCAATTCGTTTATTACACATATCAGATTGAATGGATATTTGTGTTTGTTCCATTTTAGGTTATTTGAATAATCTGCTAATGAGCATTCATGTATAAGTTTTTTTTTAATGTGAGCATGTTTCCAGTTCCATTGGGAAGAACAGCAGTGGGAGAACTGCTGGGTCATAGGTAACTTATGTTTAACTTTCTGAGGAACTACCAACCTTTTCAAAGGGGAACAGCATTTAACTACTGCCACCCACAATGTACAGGTCTCCAATTTTTCTTACTTTTTAGCCAATACTAGTTACTGATTGTTCTTTTTGATTAAGCCAACATCCACATTATCAGGATCTAGATTCTTAAGATGTGAAACGAGAAGTCAAAGGGGGTGGTAACCTGTGGACTAAGGCAAATGTGGCCTACTAGGTCCCTTAAGTGCACTTTCGATTTGAATCCCAAATTTTACAGATCCTTTTTATTAAAACGGGTTGCAGCAGAGAAAGAGAAGCTTTTCTTGTCTCCTTTGGGTGCTAAAAAAGAAGCAGTCCTTTGAAAATCAGAAGCCCGAGGTCCCATCCCACCTTCTGCGGACAAATTTGCAATCTTCCAAACACATTGCTAATCTTCTCGCTTGGTAAAACTCCTTGTTCATCCTTTAGATACTCAGCTCAAGGAGTTATGGCCCTCTACGAAGCTTCCTTGCCGTCTCTCTTTTGCAAGTAGCCACAAACGGGCCACAGAATCACATTTTCACTCTCTTTAATAAGTGCCTATCTAATCCCTCGTGTTCCACTAGGGCAGGAGCTGAGTCGCATTCATCTCATTCTTTCTTCAGAGCTCAGCCATGCCCTGGCACAGGAGCAGTAGGCTCAGCATGTTTTCTTGTGATACAAATGGAGTTATGAGAATGCCCGGAGTAGAAGAAGCCAGGATAAATATGACAGTGAGTGCCATACTTTTTTGATGCAATTCTTCTTCCGAGACTCACTTTTCCACGTTCTGCCACTTCTACACCGGCTCCCCCAACCAGGATTTCCTGGCGCCCCGCCCGCCTCCTTCGCTCAGCACTGTCGCACAGCTCACCGTCCAAGGCCTCGTCCGGAGCCGCCGGCCAGCGGTGCTGCGCTTCTTGCTGGTGCCAGCGACCGAAGAGTTCGGTTAACCAGCTCCCTCATCCTGGGCCCACTCCCGACAACAGGCCCCGAAAGGGTCGGTGTCACCGGCGCCTCACAGGACACCCGCAGCCGCTGCTGCTGCCCGTCCTGCCCGACGTACTCTCCCAACAGCTCCATGGCGACCGCTTAGCTTCAAGACGCGCCAGAGGGTACGCTGCCCGGAAGCGGAAAGCACCCGCCGCCGGCGCAGGCGGGAGAGGGGAGAGGAGTGACTTCCGTTTCGTCGAATCGCTCATAGCCAGGCAATCACAGCCTATTATAAAAGTTTCTGTTCTTGGCCACAGAATTCTATTATTAAAATAAGTATTTCTTACTGTGACACAAAGGTACTTATTTTTAGAAAAGACATCTATCTTGCCTAAATCTCATGTTTCACATTTTTAAAGATTTATATAAGTCTAGTGTCAAGTTTATTTTTAGGTGGGATTGTGGTGTTGAATTTCCTGTACAAAAGTAAAGTTGGAGATGTTTCAAAGAGAAGCTTTGTTCTGCTTGCCTGTGGCTAATATTTGTTCTACTAGAAGGCAGCAGATTAGAAAACTTGGCAAGGCATTTCTTCTATGCTGGTCCTTCAAACTGAACTTTTTTTTCCAAACATATGGGTTACTTATGAAGAAGACAGAATTAGAATCAGTATTAAACTTACTTTAAAAATTAAACCTATAACCCAGAACCTCAAAACATTAGGCCATAAGCACAAATATTATCTTGAAATTTCTTCTTTATATTACCAAACAAAGAAGAAAACATAAAGTGTTCAGGAGCAAAGTTCAGCTATCAATTTAACAATGTGATCAATTTTAAGTAGAAATAGGCTAAATTTTTTTCTTTAAGGACTGCATAGAGATAATGGAATTATAATAAATAACAATTAAATATTAGAAACATTATCATAAACTAAACAAGATAACTTCTGATTGTTTACAACAACTTCTAGTTGGCATTGTTTTGATTACCTAAGAGTACTTAGGGGAAGGCCAACGCTCCAAGTATAACTGTATTTTAAGGACATGAAAAGGTATGTAAACCGAATTTTCTTAACAGTATATAGTATTTTGTAAGCTATAGTTTTCAGGATGTATAACTGGGAAAATACTACGGAAATATCATTTAAATTATTTCGTAAGATGATTCATGAAAGTTAATTAATGATTTCTTCAATCTTTTATCAGCTTAACAAAATAACTAAAGACTATTTATGTAACCCAGCTCTGCTAATGGTTGGATCTGTAATCTGGGGGCAAGTACCTATTCTCAGATTTGATTTATCCCTGAAATAAATCATATAATTTGTAAGGTTACTTCCAATTCTAAAATTCTAAGACTATTTTGTGTTTCATTAGGTACATGCTACTTGCTTTCTTTGGATTCTAATCAGGAAAGATGCACAGTAAATAAAACTGCCCAAGTCTCAGTGATATACAGAAAAAGAACACACACACATATATATATTTTGAAAACAATTCAACTCCTTTGTTAAGCAAATCAAAGTATGACTACAGGAGAAAAGGAAATATCTAAGTTACAGTCAACATGGATTATTTATTTAAGGTCTTATATTTTTACTTGTATATACCATATCACAGAACAAAAACACACCCCATCTGGCTCCCTTAAGGTACAAGATAAATGAGAAAATTAATGCACATTCCTTGAGTGGCATCATCTCTGGATGTCTGTATATTGGGTGTGAATTCAAGGTTTTCTTGGGTCTCTCTCAAGGATTCTCCTTTCTTTTCAGTATATTTATTCCCTTATTTTCCTTCTACTTACAAAGAACTGACATTTTTACATTTAATACCCAATTTTCATCTTGCTCATTCATGTCAGTTTTTTGAAATGTTACTGCCTGTGAAATATGATATGTACTCTTTTAACAGAAGCAGGAGCTAAAAGATGCAGACACCACACAATTTAATTCAATGGTTAAATATAGAAAACAATGATAAAAATTCAGTTGCCAATTTAGAGGATATTATACATTATGAAATGTTCTGTTTTATGTCCATGGCCTGAAATTTATTTCTCATTCAAGAAAACAAATTTCATTTCTAAACATTTATTATCTTTCTTTGCTAGAAACAGAAGAAACAATTTTCTCTTTGATAAAGTTGTCTCAAATTAGAGCACAAATCTTCCTTAAACGTCAGTGTGTAATAATTAGGATATAGTAGCAGTCTTTAACATTTCATAAGGCTATTGTTAAGATGGTGGTTTTGGCCGTTTTGCAGATGGTCCATCTGAGTTAGGTCTGTTATCAATGTTACTTTCATCTTCTGCATCATCTTCATCATCACCTTTTAAAATAAATATTTGTTGTATATGTTCAGTAGTTGAAAGAAATACAGACAGCTAAAATGGTTGATAATGAGATCATTTCAATCTAGAGATTAATAAAACCATGCATATTTTAGATTAAAAAGATTCAGAGTCTCACTCTGTTGCCCGGCTAGAGTGCCGTGGCGTCAACCTAGCTCATAGCAACCTCAAACTCCTGGGCTCAAGTGAAAGAATCTCCGGGTGCCTCGCGCTTCTGCCTGTGCAGGAGAACCGAAGAGTTCGGTTCGGCGCACGGGCGGGCGGGCGCAGCGCAGCCATCAGCAGGACCGCGCTTCACGCCGCTACCCACTTCATCAGTACTTATCAACATTCAAATTCACATTAAAACTACATCACACTCATCTAAGTCATAACCCGTAACAAACACACACTC